CATCATTATTAGTTATATAAAAAACATATATTAAATTTAAAAAATTATATTCAAAAAAGTTTAAATCAATTATTAAATATATCTTATACGAAAGTTATACTAAAAAATACTCACCACTAGTCATAACAAACCCAAGCCCACCATTTCATTCGGCCAACCCGAGGAAAAAAAATGTGAAGTCAACCCCCCAACCGGCTCAACTCTCATTGAAAATGCCCTAGCTCCCTTGGCCTTCACAAAAACGCAGGAACGGGGTGCAGCCTCCTTCCCCCTCTGTCCGATGAATTCTCCCTCTTGAGTTCTTTCCTTTTCAGCATTTTATCAGCGTACAATCTTCTATACAAATCAAGATTTCTTCCTTCCTGTACTTTATAATTAATGTACTCTCACAAGATTTCTTGACCTTTCCGGGGCCGGTTATCTACCGGAAACCCATTTCCTGAGGTAGCGCATGTGGCCTGTCGCCATTCAAGTTAGGGAAATCAGATGCAATCACATGGAACAACTTCTAGAAGATTAATAAAACTTTACCCGTTTACAAATTTAGACATCTTTCCATCGCTAATTTACAGAAAATGTCATCCAGCTCACTTTAGCAAAATAAATAATATCACCGCTAACCTGCACTTTACAAAATATACACATACAAGGAAATTCACGATGTAGCCAGGTGTTTTCTTCTCTCCAGCAATCCTTCCATAACCACTTTCTTCTTATACTCTTCCGAATTCAAATTTGAGACCTTCGCTTTTGTATCAATGTCGTGTTTTCTCAATCGAGGATAGAAATAAAGCCAAGCTGATGTGCAAAGTATAGCACATAATCGACCCCAAAATAACATTATTATCAAAGTTACCAGAATAATTGACATCCCCATCACTGGATCAAATTTCTCATTGTTTCCTCCTCCCAACTCCTTGGAAATAACCTCACTGAGCGTTGTTGGACCAAACCATTTTCTTGGAGCTGGAGACGGTAAGGAAACCGAGTGAGACAGCTTCCCCTTGGACCTGATCACGTCTGGTGGTGGAGAATCTGGTTGGCTTGTCCTGATTACTGCTGACTTCATTGTCCGGCATAGCCGTCTTTGATACTTGTTATCCCGTGGTGGAACTTCCGAAGAATCCAAACTTTTCTCACCATTATCGAGGATGATGTGCTGTTCATGTGTATTCTTTCTCTGAATCCAAAATTAGAAACAAGGAAAGTGGCAAGGAAAAAGATCACACATAATTGCCAAACACTGATATGCTTTCGATAACAACAAAACCCAGCTTTACAGTAATCCCAAAGCAGCCTAAATGAATTATGCTAAGAAGCCCCAAGAGTTTTTTATTTTAAGATGAAGATGAGATAAAGATAACATGATCCATACCTCATCGGGTTTCTTCACCGGAGCTTGATCTCGTTCCGATTGTGTTTGAAGCTTTTGATTGGCAGTGATCAAGCTCTGATCATGATTGGATGAAAGCTGACCGTCTGATTTCCTTTGCCACTTCTTTGATCTTGATGCATTCTTTATTTTATCTATCTCCGTTTTCCCGGCCGTATTCACTGGCATGGTATTGATGGCGGAGTTGTTGGCGTCATAACTCGACCTGAAACAACAACGGGCCTTTTTCTCGCTAGCCGTGTTTTGCCCGGAAACTGTTTCTCGGGAAAATCCAAAACATCCCGGAAAGCAACCGCCTTGGGGATTAGTTTCTTGGTCCTTGTTTTGGGTTTTGGTCATGGTGGAGAGAGAAGGGGCGAAGTCGGCATGGGCTTTGAATGCAGTTGGCTCTTGGGGTCGCTGTTAACTAAATAATTATTCTGAAAATATTTATATGATTACTTATATATGTTCATTTTTTATATTATTTTTTCATTGGTAAAAAGAAATGAAATTGATTTGGTTGGAGGCTTGGCCTTGGCATTGGTGGGTCGTTTTTCTCACACGGTTTCCCCTCATATACAATACCTCCATCAGGCATCAGTTAGTACTACTGCAATGCTCGGTGTTTTTTATGTTTGTTGCATGACTTTTGTATTTATTTTGAATTAATATTTTCATTGGTTTAATCTTAATATTAACCATGTATTTATATATACTATATGGATATCAATCAATACACATTTTGATTTAATATATTATATAATATATTTATCAAAAAATTATTATTTTTTTAAAAGTTAAAAATAATCAAATTTAAAAGATATAACCATATACATATGATGTAAGAATTGATTAAACTTATTAGATTTATATTATATTTTTAATAATTGTATCAGATAAGTGTGAAAAAGTGTATTGAATCAATTGTATAAAAGTGTATTGAACCAATTGTGTATAAATTATTTTTCATACTGTATATATATTAGATTGGTGTTTATTAATCATGCTTATAAAAAAATTAGGTGAAAAAATACTTAAAATTATATGATTTTAATAAAGTATCATAAGAAAAGGCTAAAACAACCTCACCCTTATTTTTAAACCTAGAATGCTTTACTCCTTTTCAATGGAAACTAATTAAAACAACATAGTTTTATGTATTTTTCTACCTAATTGATTTTTGTAGATACAGACGATAAACATTACTTATATATATTATGGAAAAATATTTCACAGGACGTCATCTTAGAAGAAAATTTTTTTTAAATTTTATTTTTTAATTAATATTTTAAAAATCAGCAGTTACATTACATGTTTTATTCAAGTAACTCATATATGTTACTTTTCATATTGATTTAGTAGACTTAATAAGTTTGTTGAGTATACAAAATTTGACATTGTTGAACACTGGGGAATTTGGGGGATGAGAATATTTTTTCAAGGCATTACTGGAAGTCGAATTCTCAATCAATTACACCCAAGTACTTAAGGTTTGAGGATGAATCACTGAAATATTTGACATTGTTAAATATATGGTAGTATATAAACTTTCTTTGTTCAAAGAATAATATTAGATAAATTTGAAAATGACATGTAAAATCTATATGAACAGAATATTTAATGTAATAAGACTAATCTTGAAAATTTTAGTTACAAGCTATAGGTCATCCTAGATTCTTTTTTTTTTTTTTTTTGAAGGATATACCAAAAAACTCATGATTTAATTAACATTTTCAAAAGCTAATTATTGAATTAAAATTTATATTCATATAAATTATATATGTCAATTTTTATATTGATTTAATATTTATAATTTGCTTAAAAAATTATATTTATTGATATATATTTAACAGTATTAAATTTTATATAATCAACAAGTTAATTAGGTGTACTAAATTGATTTAAAAATTGATATGTATCATCAATATTAAAAAAAAACTTTCGACTCAACAGTTGATGTAAAAATATTAATTGAAATATAATATTTTTAGAGATATCCTCTAGAGAACATCTTATAAAATACTTTTCTATATATATAACTTATATTTTCCCATAAAATAATATCTTATTCATTTACTTGCTTTATGAAACCTAAAAGTTGGATTCACTCGTCAGTAAGCATCATATTATAAGTCAAGTTTAGAATTTAAATTTTCGATTAATACTCAAAAAA